ACACTGCTCTTGTCGCAATCTTTCATTACAAAAACAAAAAAAAAGAAAGCATTTACACTGCAAAGATATATGCAATGATAAAAACACCATTTGCATTTTTCAGGTCAGGTTGGGACAACAAATATTTCAGAAAATCAATGATTATTGCTGATCAAACTGGCATAGGGCATTAAACCACAGGCAAACGTCCTTCCTCCTCCATGCTGTTCTTTAATTTATGGGTTAGGAGTAAATGACTGCAAAGTCACTGAATGACTTTCAGCTGAAAAAATAAAAGGGTTGACCGAGCGATGATGTGTGGATCTGTGAGGGACAGGAGTTGACTAACTTTTCAATTAGTTATCACCCCCACACTAACAGAATGAAAAGTGGAGATTGTGATCTTAACTAAGTCCCTATAGTGAGTGACTCACTAGGATAAGTTAAAAAAAGCAAATGCCAGTCAATGGTGCATTACATCACCAGAGTCAGAGTTAGACGTTGGACTGGATGCAAAGTATTCTTTTGAGTGGATCCTTCATCAGGATCATGTCAGAGGGATGCTGGGATGTTGGGGGTGAGATGCTCAGTGAGTTTGCATCTCAGTGTCGGACAAGCAGCAGAAGTGACGCGGAGGCTGTGTGCTCGTGTCTGACTGGTCCTCGGTGATTCAGTCGGGATGCAAATACAAAAAAAAAAAAAAAAAGCAGAAGCTGAGGTCTCAATCTGAGTAGCTTAAAAAAGCATCAAAGCTCAGCTCTAGTTCATTGTCATACTGAGGTCGTTTAATAGTTTAATATTGGAGTTAAAGGGGAATTATAATACTGGCTGGCTTACCACAGATGCGGAGGGATGACCATGTCTTTACAGTTCTTGGCGCAGAAAACAATTGATGGGGCTTTCCTTTGACTGGGCAGAGATCTCAGAGGCAGGCGGCTCCCATAAGAGTCCACATGGGATTTATCTGTGTTGATCCGTTCAACTCCTCTGCTGTGCGACGAACTAAAGCATTATGAGAGGTCTGGAGGGGAGAAAAAAGTGCTGTGTTTGCCTGTTTCCTTGAATGCAGACTGATGCTCTGCACAGCCCGGCTGCACCCCGCTCGCTCCTCCCTGCAGCAAGAAGAAGATGGGCTGGTGGCGGGAAGGAATCCACGGAGTGGATCACACACAGACGGTGGGGGGATCACAAAACACGGAGCTGGAGTTCACCAAGCTCGGACTGGAGCGGGATGATGATTCGGGATTCCCCCGATTCAGGGCTCACAAATTTTCTGAGCAGGTTTATTTGATGCACAGGTGACGCCACACACACACAGATGACTTTTATTTTTGTATTTGTGCCTTATCTAAAATATCTTCCCCCTTTCTCCATTTTTTTTTTTTTTTTTTGTAACAATGCTTCTTGGCAATCTGTGTTGGGAAACCTAAATGTCACATTTGTTAGGAAAATACAATTGTGGGTTGCTAAATCTTTTCCACCAATCATCTTATTTTGTCATGACTTGTTTTGAGCTTCTGGTACCCCTGGTCCTGATTGTCCAATTCATATGTGCATGGATTAGAATTGAAATGCAAGGAGATAACATGAAATGGTTTCTGATGGGTGGACACCCGTGAGAACAAGATACTAAACCATGATCAGCCATACTCCATATCATCTGGTGGAGTAATGCACCAAACAGCTGTCACAAATGAAATAAAATAATTAAATTAAATTTTAAAAACCCTCAAGAAGGTGGAATGTGGTGGTGGGCGTTCGTTTCTCAGATTTATTAGATGGGACTGTTTTTCATGAGACAAAACCTCAACCTCCGGGAGGAAGAAAAAAGGTGACGGCAAGTTTGCACACAAAAACAAGCAAAAAAAAAAACAACAACAACAAATTAAATTTTAATCAACCTTATATCTTATTTTTTCCACAGAAAATATAACACAGTTTGTAAAATGTGTGCAGTTATTAATTCAGGAAATTGCATGAGGAGATCTAGAGTGGCAGAGAAGTATGTTAGACTGGTACAGGACATGTATGAGGACAGCAGACCAGTGGTGGGATGTGCTGTAGGAGTGACAGATAGCTTCAAGGTGGAGGTAGGAGTGCATCAAGGATCGGCTCTGAGCCCCTTCTTGTTTGCTCTGATGATGGACCGACTAACAGATGAGGTCAGGCAGAACTCGCCGTGGACTATGATGTTTGCAGATGAAATGATCTGTGGTGAGAACAGGGAACAGGTGGAAGAGAACTTGGAGAGGTGGAAGTATGCACTTGAAAGAAGAGGAATGAAAGTCAGCCGTAGTAAGACAGAGTACATGTGTGTGAATGAGAGGGAGGCCGGTGGAACGGTGAGGCTACAAGGAGCAGAGGTCACAAAGGTGCAGGACTTCAAGTACTCGCCACTGTCCAGGGAAATGTGGAGTGTGGTAAAGAGGTGAAAAAGAGAGTCCAGACTGGATGGAGAAAAGTTTCAGGAGTAATTTGTGGCAAAAGGGTGTCAGCAAAGGTCAAAGGAAAGTTTACACGACAGTGGTGAGACCAGCTATGTTGTATGGTCTGGAGACAGAAACATTGACAAAAAGACAGGAGAAAGAACTGGAAGTGGCAGAATGAAGATGTTGAGGTTCTCCTTAGGAGCGACAGATGGATAAGATTAGAAATGAGATCATCAGAGTTGTTCCACTTTGGAGTAAGCTGTTGGGGGAAGAATCAGTTTTGTTGTGTGTTTCCTTGACTGATGAAGCCTTCCAGACCGAAGGCGAAACGTTTCAGCACAAAATAAAAAGAAACTATCCAGATGACCTGACTGAAAATGTTGGATTGTATACCTGGATTATTGAGCATGGACTTTGTTGACATGGAGGTACAAAGTAGTTGGAGTGAAGACAGAAGATGCAGAGGACAGAGTGAGATGGAGGAGGATGACTCGCTGTGGAGACCCCTGAAGAGGGAAAAAGAAGAAGAACTAATTCAGGAAATGAATATCCACCCCACTAATATTTTTGCTCGGGCACCTCCACTGCTCATAATAATACCTGTTCATTCAACCTTTATTTATACAGGTTAATCCCATTGAGTCTCGGGGACTCATTTACAAGACAGACCTGATTTCTTTAACAAAGAGTGATGACAACAGTGGATAACAACAACAACAACAATAGACAATCATAAAAGAGGCATACACATTTTATTTTTTTTTACAAATTAAAATAAACTGTCAACCAAAAGGACAGTCAAAAGGAAAAAAAATAGCGAGAAAACCCCCCAGCTAGACAGCTGTTAAATTGTTTGTTTCACAGTGATCAACACGACATTGACTGACTTTAATGACAAATGCTGGTTGAAGAAGGGGAAGCCATCCCACTGCAGTTTTTGTCCAAGCTGGTGAGCAGCATGAAGAGTTGAATCCAGGCTGTTGTGGCTGTGTATGGTTCTTCCACATGCTAAGGAGTCCCCTGTTTTTAAAAAGAATAAACAGGAAAATTGCCAATATCTATCTTGTTTGTTTAGACTTTAATCATTCAATACAATAAATGACACCAAACATATGCAGGCTTTTCAAGGGTATAAAACGTACTGTATTGTTAAAGTGACAATAAAGAAGCAACAAACCAATGATATTTGTGCAACGTTAAAATAAGCTGTCAGGAGGACTCAGTTTAACCCTCACATAAATTAGCTAATCAAAACATTAACACTTTGATTAAACAGACCAATATTTAATTTTTTGGGTGTTTGGGGAAATGCTTTAAAATAAGCAATACAAATAATCTTAAATACCATGGCACCCTTTTCCCCACATTGTTTTCATTCTACAGTAAATTGTGAGTCGACCACGGTTCCCAACCCCTCGTCCGTGTCCGGATTTGGCCCATGCGCCACTAGTTGGTGATCACTGTAACTCAGTGATAACTCAGTCAATTGAGCAGATATTGAGCTAATTATTATGAGCACGTATAAATTAAAGATTAACATAAACTGGATGGACTAGCTATTTTTGTGATCATCCAGCACGTTCGAGTCCATTATTTTCATTATAGTATTTCATATATTTATTCTTTTTGTTCCGGTGTCTTCTTGCTGTTTTAACTGTTTGTCTGCTGAAGGTTCTCTGGGACCACGCTGGCACTTTAAAGTAATTTGTCAATGGGATAAGGAAGTTTGACATTGCGCAGATTGACATTGAAAAAAGGCGGATGATGAAATGTCAGGTGACTCGTGACGTCACGTTTCGGCTCGAGTAACTTGAAGAGACGGAAGCACGTTTTTATAACGCAAGCGAAAAGTGCCGGCAGGAGGGCGAGACCCGGGTCTGAGGTGTGTTTAATCCCTCTGAATAACCACTACACATAAATACAAGGTAAGGGGGTTTAACAAAATGTCTGCTTGTTGTTTCGCAGTTTATTTGCCCTCAGGTCGTAATTGTTCTTGTTCTGTCACTTCCTCCTACAACGTGGCCTAGACCCAGAATGAGCCAGTTTCTGAATAATTAGCTCACCTTACTGTACTTTTGCTCCATTTTGTTGTACAGGGGATCTTTGTAACTACAACCCCTGCTCTTGTTTCACCTCTGGAGCACAACTTTTAAGGTTTTGTAACGAAAGAAGTTGTAAAACTTTGAGAGGAGCGCCCCCTAGTGACAGGTTGGGACTTTTTATTTAGGAAAACTGGTGAAGATTTGCACATTTTAGTTAAAAGTATGTTGTCTTTTTGCCTGTCTTGTGTGTTTGTTAGCAAAATATCACTGGATGGGTTTTAGGGCAACTTTCAGAAAGTAATCACTGTATGTCTCTAACTGGTTAACCTTTGGAGCCAACACCGGTTCAAATGGCCAACTTTAGTTTAGCTGACGCAGAAGCGGCGAGAACTTGGTCAGTTTTACAGATGTTGACTTAAGGTTTGGTGTGATAGCAGCTAAGATGCATCCACAAAAGATTTATTATTTATTAACCGTTATTTAACTAGGCAAATCTCATTGAGATCACATCTTTTTTGCAAGGGAGGCCTGGACCTAAAGGCAGCATGACATGCATGTTTCTGATCTGTGGGAGGAAACCGGAGTACCTGGAGAAAACCCACGCAAGCACGAGAAGAACATGCAAACTGCACACAGAAAGACCCCAGGTCCAACCCGGGATTGAACCCATGACCTTCTAGCTGTGTGGCAACAGCGCTAACCACTGAGCCGTTGTGCTGCCGAAGATACTCCGAGCATTTTGTGACAAAAAAAAAAACATTTCTAAGCCCAAGATAATTTTGGTTTAAAAGCAGCGGGTAATTTAAAGGTTCTTTGTCATTCGCATCACATGTGCATGAGTTGGAACGAAATTGTGTACTCGAGGTCCCAGTTACACCCAAAAATAGCAAAAATATAAGAAAAAGAACCAGGATCTAAGGTATATGCTAAACATTAATAATGTTATATAACACTGTGTATTAAACAGCAGCCTGAACATGAGTCTGATATGAGCAGATGGGTATGAATACAGCAGCTTAAAGGCAAGAAATCAGCAGCATGGATAATCAGCAGCACAGATAAAGTGGCATTACATCATTACATTAATATGCATTCCTTGGGGGGGGGGGGGGGGGGTTATGTCTTCAATTAATTTAGTGTTTTCTCTTCTTTCTTTTTTTTTTTAGAAACCATGTCAGGAGACGCAGAAAAAGGCAAGAAAGTGTTCGTCCAGAAGTGTGCCCAGTGTCACACTGTGGAAAACGGTGGCAAGCATAAGACTGGCCCCAACCTGTGGGGGCTCTTTGGACGCAAAACAGGCCAGGCAGACGGCTTCAGCTACACAGACGCCAACAAAACCAAAGGTAACCACTGCAAGTTCTCTATATGCTGATTTCTATCATGCAATCAATCATGTTGTTCGATTTCTGTAAACGTTGAGCATCGTTGTAATTCCAGGCATCATTTGGAATGAGGAAACCCTGATGGTTTATCTGGAGAACCCAAAGAAGTACATTCCAGGAACAAAGATGATCTTCGCCGGCATCAAGAAGAAGAACGAGCGCGCTGACCTTATTGCGTATCTTAAAGCTTCCACTTCATAAGCAATTCTTCTGCACATCTTTACTCAGTGTAGTGACCAACCTCTCAGGAGACCGAGACTAATAGTTTTTTCTTTTTCTAAATCAAGAGAGGACAGGGACCAGTTCATGTGATGTTTGCTAAAGTGCCACAGTTGTTGGAGCTGTATATTTAGTTTTGATATCAATTGTTCTCCTCACTGTTAAGTAATCGTCCTCTTGTGTCTTTGTCGCATATAAAATGATTAGTCTGTGTACTGTGAGTTCAGAATGCAGGGAATGAATGCTGTTTTCTTTGTCTTGTTTATTTCAAGAGCGATTGTGCCTTTTCTGATTGACCATACCTCAATCGTCCTGTCAGTTTTTTTCAATTTACAATATATGTACCGGTAAGTTGAATAAAATTGAACCATGTACTTAAATTGAACCGCTTAATTTTATTTATTTATTTTTTTTTTTTTGAGAAGACACCAGTCATTAGATGATGACCTGTAACAGAGACTTGCAATATTATGACATCACTTTTGCAGCAGAAGTGGAAGTTTAACTCAAGTTATACTGATATCACTATCATGAAAAAAGCAATGCACATTTTGTGGCGAAGGAAATGAGGCTCAGAATGCAACAATTTTCAGTCAGGTCATTAAGAAACTGTCCAGATGATCTGACTGAAAAATTTTTTTGGATTGTATACCTCGATTATCGAGTATGGACTTAAAAAAATTTTTTTTTTTTGAGGCTCAGAACACTTAAATTGCCATTTTAATGCTTAATTTATAAGCCATATTTTACTACTTCTAACCCCCACAATAGGGTCACAAGTCTTCCAGTGCTATTCTGTGGGTCACACATTAGCTGCACTAAAGTAACATTTTCCTCTTACATTCGCTGAATGAAGCAGTTCAACATTTGGAGTTTTGCGCCCTCTTGTGTTCAGATCCCGTTACTGCACCCGGTGCCATTAAAAAAAAAACGGATTTGATTTTCTGACACTCGCTCTGCCAATAAACGTCGCTGTTCTATAACTTAATGAAATAGAGCACTGCAGTTTCAGGATGTGCTAAAGTTAGGGCTTCTGTGAAAGAGGTGCAACACTTGATTTCTTTAAAATCAGTAATGCACGCGCTTTCATCCACTCTGAAAGGAATTAACAGCATGATGTTAAGGTGATAAAGAGTGAGGACGCATTCGTTTCTTTTTGCGCATGCAGCCTGGAACGTGCTGGGGTATTTCCTCTAATTATTAGCCTTGAAGCTCATCGCAGAGTTTCTGTAAAGGAGGGCAACTGGTTCAAAATGAGCAGGGAGCTGAAGCAACCCTGAGCTGCTGTCAGTGTGACGAAGCTCCAGCATCAGCCAACTGCAGCTCGCGTCATTTGCACAGGAGGGACGGAGACACGCGGTGCTGCTGGCTCTCTGAGTGAGATTCCCAGTGCCTCTGACGCTCCAGAGCCCCTGCTTTACTTTTACTCGGGTCTGCCTTAATGATCTGAAATGAGGTGAGAGCGCGGCGGAGATGCTGTGGAGGAAGAGGCTGGCGCGCAAAAGGAGAGTCTCCATCCTTCTCCTCGCAGCGCTCAAACTGGATATGTAGCTCCAGGGGTGTTTTTTTTTTCTCTCTTTCTTCTTCTTCTTCTTCTTCTCTTTGGATGGAAGTTGTGGCGTTTGCACGATTCTCCACTCTTCTTTAACCCTCAGTTAATCCTCATAGATGAGATTTCTCTGCGCCACTTCAAGGTTCACTCAGGACCACCCGGAGCTCAGACATGGCAGTGTCAAATATGCTGTTCTCTGACGTAGAAAGTTTCCTGGACTCACATCCGGAGTTGTTCGAGGACTACCTGAGCAGGAAGGGGAATTATAGCATGGTGGAGAAATGGCTCAAGAATCACCAGGCGAGCAAAGCAGCAGCAGCAGCAGCAGGACCGGCGGCGGCTGTAGCAGCTGCTGCTGCTGCTGCTGCTGCAGCTCCCATCACCAAGCCGAGAGAGGAGAGGAGCCACGCGTGCATGGACAGCTGGGCGAGCAAATGCGACGGCCTGCAGCGGAGAGCCTCCCAGAAGGAGCTGCGCAAAACTTTCGCCCGATCCAAGGCCATCAACGTGAACAGGACCTACGACGAGCACGTGAACTCCAGGGCGCAGGAGCCGCTCACGAGCATGAGGAGGAGAGCTCTGCTGAGGAAAGCCAGCTCCTTACCCCCGACCACTGCGCACATCCTGAGCGCGCTGCTGGAGTCCAGAGTCAACATCCCCCAGTACCAGTCCACAGCCGTGGACTTCAAATATTACCTGAAAGAGAACAACGAAAGAGAGTTCTTCCTGGAGCTGGTTAAAGACATCTCCAACGACCTGGACCTGACGAGCCTCAGCTACAAGATCTTGGTGTTTGTGTGCATCATGGTGGACGCAGACCGGTGCTCCTTGTTTTTGGTGGAGGGAACGGGCAACAAGAAGACACTGGTGTCCAAATTCTTTGACGTGCACGTGGGGACCACGGTTTTACCCTCAATGAACTCAGATGAAGTTCAGGTGCCGTGGGGCAAAGGGATCATTGGATACGTGGCTGAGCATGGAGAGACAGTGAACATCCCTGACGCATATCAGGTGCCTGCTCCTTTGCACGTGCCCAAACCCCTTTCAGTCACTTGGCCACGTTATTTCTCCCAGCTGATTGATGACAGGCCATATTTTGTCACAGTGAAAACAGGCTTGCATGAAACCAAAGTGAGAGATCATATGGTCACATTGCTTCCCAAATGAATCTACTGGTTTATTCTTCTAAATCAGACACTTCTTCATGTTTAAAGCAGCATTAACACATTTCAAATGTTGTCAAACTTATTTGAGCATTTTTCTATCATGAACAGTTTCATTTTCCCTCCTGTTTAATTTTGTTTTTGGCTTGCAGGACCGCCGGTTCAGTGATGAAATTGACAAGCTGACAGGGTACAAAACCAAGTCCCTCCTGTGCATGCCCATACGCAACAGTGATGGTGAGATCATTGGGGTTGCTCAGGCCATTAACAAGACTTCCAGTGGAGAGCTCTTTACTGAAGACGATGAGAAGGTAAAGCCATTATCATCATCTATAACACAACACAAACACTGCTGCCAAATTGGTAAGATATACTATAAAGTGCAAAATAGAAATATATTGGGGATAGGTAGATCAAACCCTTTCTTATTTGTATTTAAATAGAGCATCTGCTGAGGAAGAAAAGGAGCAAGTTACTATAAAATATCACAAAACTGGCAGGATTTGTGGTTTTGTGCTTTTGCAGATTTTTATAAAAGGACAAAATCCCACATGGTTAAATATGTGTCGTATTTGACAGAGAAAGAACGGGGCTGTTGATTAAATGTGGCAAATGTTCCCCGCACCTCACAAGATTTCATCATGTTAAAGTGATGGTCCAAATCTTTTGATGTGCAAACTTTTATAGCGTGAACACTAACGAATAAAGTTTTCTCTGTGTGCCGATTCATTGTTAGTCTGCTGGAAATATTCCTATTTGTACCACAGGCTGCATCAGAGGTGCTGCTGCTGCTTTTTGCTTCAGCTAAAGCTCACAGAAATCTGTGTGTGCTGCAAAATTGATCTCATGTTTAGCATTTGCGCTACATTTTTGAGCTGAGTTGCATTAAGAACTGCGTTTCCTTAACCCTGTTTGACCACGCTGTTAGCTTCAAACATAAAGATGATCAAGGAATATTAGTACAACTCTACTAAATGACAAATCAAACAGACATAGTGAAATAAATATACACAACAGATGCAATATAACTGAACAATAAAGCCAATCTATTGTCTAATGTGATAAAACTCAACATGCGTTTGTCATTCATTGATTATATTCATTCTACACATTCAGTCTAAATATAAACAAAATTGCTTAATTTAACTTTTTATCCAAACATGTTTATTTCCATTTTCGTCCATTATCGAATAAAATAATGTTCCAGACAATCAAAGACCGTGTTTGACAATGGATTTAAACAGGAAATGATCAAACAGGTGATGCTGATGGGAAACTAGAGCCTCCCTGTTTTTATTTTTTATTTTTATGGGAGCATATTAAAATGGAAAGAATTAGCCCGGAGTAATGCCCCTGCTTTATGATTCATATGTGGCATTTCAAGGATGTTACTCAGTTGTTGTTTTATTTATTTATTTTGTAGACATGCACTGTTCTGTGCACAGCGAGGCAACTAACTGTCACACTTTATTAATGTCAGTGTTGTAACACTTATGTGTTCGCAGTGGCAAAGACAAACAACCAAAAGGGGATTTTTGTTACATTTTATTTATTTTTTGTGTTATGTTTTGCATTTTGACCTACATACATGGAATATTGTATTCATTTATGCAGAATAAACCAACTAAACTAACCGGATAAACTTCCTAAAACAAGAGTCAACAAAGTAGATATCAGGTTGCTTTTTCCTCAAATTAAAGAGCACGTCTTTAAACATGATTTGAATTCAATAAGAGGTGCAGGCGCAAGTCTTTTTGTGAGATTTGAGGAGAATGTTTTTCTAAAACAACATGATGGTTTTTTTTTTAAGTATTATATATTTCAGCAGTTCTTAGAAGGGTTTTGATTTCTAAAAATTGTGTTTGCCCTAAATTTCAAACGATAAAAGTTTTAATCTCTGAACTTTGTTGCACCATCACATGCAATTATTCCTATTTAAATTTGAAATTATATGATGCATATTGTTTTTTGGATGTGGGAAATCACAGATGATTACCATAATGTCCTAAAAAATCAATAAATGGTAAATGGACTGTACTTATATAACGGTTTTCTATCTTATCGAGACACTCAAAGCTCTTTACACTACAATCTATGTCCTCATGTACCCATTCATACAGCACTCTACTAGATCTCTACAAAGCTAATTGAACAAATCATTCTAAAGAGACTAATCAGAGCTTTATCACATTCATACACTGATGGGACACACATCGGAGGCAATGAGGGGTTCAGTGTCTTTCCCTGAGACTCTTCGGCATGTGACTGCTCCTGGATTCGAACCCCCTACTCTTGCATTGGAGGACGACTGCTCTAACCACTCAGCTACATCCGCCCCATTGGTTATTTATTTATTTTTTCATCATGTCTTTTTAAATTAGAATATTTAAAACTGGTTGGAATCTTTTGTCTTATAAACATCATCTGACAAACATGTTTTCTGTTGGTTTCTGTGCACAAACTGGGTGTAACTAATATTTACTCTTCTCAGACTTTACCCAAGTTACTTGTTTGACACCTTCAGACTTAATTTTAGAGTCTGGGTTTGTTGTCAGAGCTGGTTCGTTTGCACAATTATATTTTCCTTATGCAATAAGTTCCAGGAGTCCCAAACACCAGAGCCAGAAAAATCACATTTATGCCTTTAGATGCTCATAGTAGGTGAAATTTCACCTGAATTCATGTTGAAACAACCAGTTAGTTTGTGATTATTTGAAATGTATCCATTTAAACTGCACATGCTTGTATATTCCATTGTTCCTTAAGATGAGTCTGTTTTATTATTCCCTTGTTTAGAGACATCTTTCACACTGCGTTAACATTACACTAATGCCTGGGATGGCTCCTGCTGAATTAGTAATGAAACGTGATGCGGACGCAGCAAGCTCGCTGTGTTCAGCACAGCTGCAGCTCAGCTAATATAAAGTCTGTGCAATAGGAAAGTATCATACTTTTGAATGCAATAAATTATCACACAGCAAATGTCATTAGGGGCTTATGTATACCTTCATTAAAACTATTTTTCCCCCACATTGCATGTCTGCTTTGAAATCCCACACGTCCTTAATTGTGTTCTGTTGATACCCTACAGAACTGCAGAGCTGAGAGGAGTTTAAATACTGGTTCAACCCGTCTGTAATTGCAGCGTCTCATTTCTGTGGAGGAATCCAGCAGCTTGACTTAAATTACAAGCGGACCTAATGCTGCTATCCATATTTCTGGTCACATTAGTTTGATTTTGCATTATTATTGTTGCTTTACTTACCGTTTAACATTAAACATTAATGCATCATTTCCAGGTAGATATATTCATAAGTGAGCTCTAATATCCAAGTTCACACATGTGGGTTTTATCTGCCGATACTGTTCAACATCAGCGCGAGCCGTTTGCAAAAAAGCATTCTATCCCTCGTGTCTGTGCTCCCTCTGGCCGCCAAAGTCCCTGTCAAATTGGTTCGAAGTGATGCAGTAATAACTGCTTTCACGCTGCTTCCCAATGCAAAGCTGCAGGCGAAGAACAGAGAACTCCATTTCTGCCAATACGTTTCCAGAGGAAATTATCTAAGCAACTTCATACTCGACTTCATCCCTGTAAACTGCTAATGAACACAAACATGTGACCAAATTATAAGATCAACAGAGTGCAATATAAAACTCTGTTGGTAAGAACATCTGTTCTTTTAACTTAAGTTCAAAGTGTTGAAACGTGAAGAGTGGATACTACATAGTATTAGGTAGTAATTAGCACACTGTTGTAATTATTACTTAGTGTGATTAGGCTCATTCTATGCATTCAATATGTTTGACTTCATGAAAAGGTCTTTGTGAAACAATCCATAAAAAAAACTTGTAAATTCTTGATATAAAAGAAATTATACCAACTTAACATACAGATGTTTGCAGTGACAAAAGGAAACTGTTTAAGCAGTTTTAGATATTTTGCAGTAAAAAAATGTCGAAGACACTGCAGGAACAAGAAAGGAGTAATAGATGATTAAATAGGGATTTTTTTCTTTTCGCTTTGAGTTTGCTGTTTAGCACACGTTGACATCGGAAATAAACCAAATCAAAACCATGACAATGAGTCAAGTTCACCTAGTTTTGATAGTTATAAAATAAATAACAAATTAGCTAAATTCTAGAGGCACTTAAAAAATGCATAAGCCAAGAACATGCAGTACATTAGTCTTTTCATTTGGAAGATTTGTGGTTCCAAGTGGTCACAGTGTCTGTTTTACAAGATGCTGAACTCTAATTTTCTGTCTTGTGTTTAATTATAGAGAACAAATCTAAAGTTATGATAACCAGTACTGTGTAAATATTTGACAACACAAATGAGAAGCACTTTGTAAACACAAAGAGTCAAAAGCTGCAATGCAGTGACACTTTTATTTTGTGTAATCAAATTTGCAGCCTGAGCTGCACTGAAGGACCAACCACTCACCTTGACATGCCTACAAAATGTTTTACCCCCCATGGAGCTAAGATGTGTAAATGGAAATACCCTCTGTGCGTCAGTCTGTGCATTTTGTGAGCACAACAACTTGAACAAATGTGGCATACTGACTTCCAGTTTGGTGTGTGGCTGTTTGTATAGAAAAGAAAGTTTCTTTTCAAATGTTCAAATGTTTTCAAATGTTGAGCTGTCATGTAAAAATCCAAAATGGTTGCTGCCATATATGTTTATAAACTAAACTTGTAAGTTGGATAACTTTAAAAATGAACAATGTGCCCATTTCCATTTTGGTGTGTGGCTATAGGCTTAGCAAAGATCACTGTCAACTGGGCTGCCAAGTCGAAATCCAAGATGGCCACCACCATACTATACAAACATACATAATGTGTATATATATATTTACCATGTTTTCTGTCGTAAGTTGCTTATGAGTACAAGTCACATGTCAAAAAAGGCATCATGAAAAGTGGAAAAACATATACAGTACCGTCCCTCCGTACTTTGCGGTACGAATCCCCACGATAAATGAGGGACTACTGTATATACATATATATTTATATGTGTGTGTGTGTGTGTGTGTGTGTGTGTGTGTGTGTGTGTGTGTGTGTGTGTGTAAACTGGCCACCCTAATTATTTGAGGAAACTGTGCTTTCTCGTTTTTAAAATTGCCTAAAATACAATTTCCTCAAATGATTGGGGTGGCCTTTGAAGTGACTGAAGTGGTGGTGAAGGCCACCGCTGACCACCCCCTGGTTCCACCAAAGCACCCGATCATATGAATTGCTCTGTCCATTCACCAGGATCTGTCATTCTGCAGCGCCTCGGACAAACAAAAAAAAACAAAAAAAACCCAATAAATTAATTTAAAAAAATCTTTACCTCTGTTCTTCCACACAGTGTAACTCATACTCACTTGAATATCTTGCACCAAAAAAAAAAAAAAAAGGTTTACTTGCAGTCCCTGTTCAATTCCAGTCCAGAAAAAACACTCATTTCAAAAACTACAAACATTCACTATTCAAATCTCTCAGCCATGTGAGACAGTGTTTTTTTCTTCTTGCCGTTATGTTGAATATATATTTTGATTAAAACAGAGTTCACAATGCACAGCATGTGTAAATTTCTGCATCAACCCTGATGGAGGCATGTTCCCATGCCTTCACTGTTGTGTGGTTGATGGGTGGGAAATGTTTCTGTCTCCAGTGAGAGGAGCTGCTTATCTTTTTATAGGCTTTCCCTCAGATGTTTGCACAGAGACTTGTCCTAATGAAAATTGCAAAGAGTTCTTTGCTCACTCTTTTCTGTCTTTGATGCGCCGAGGTGCTCTAACACTGAGAAGCACCTCAAATCTTTTGTTTCATTTATTATTTTTTATTTGTTTGATACATTAGAGCGTACATAAAAAACATTAATATGTTCAGGTCTCTATTGTAAATGAGTCCTCGAGGCTCAATGGGATTTACCTGTCTCAATAAAGGTAGAATGAATGTTTTCGTACCCTTTGTTATTAATTTGATCCGGGCTGGTTTTAGAAAGCGGTGATTCAGATGTTTTTAAAAATGGTGTTGTGTGGATATGGAATAAACAAATAATATCTTACCTGCTGAAGATGGCTCTTTGCATTAAGTCAGTTTTGAGACAAAGAGTTGATTCTAAACAGAACGATGAGGAAACAGCTACAGTCTCACCAATTTCATTTCAGCTCATGTAAATGTTATTTTATAAACTTTTACAGTGATGCCAAAATTCCATAACTGTTATTTACACAAATTATTTGATTACTTGAAAATGCAAAAGCAGCAGCTAGCAGTAGCACTTCCAGTGCAGCTTTGGGTATTTACAGGAACATCTTATTTTTTTTCTATCAGAATAATCATTTTAAATTAATGTAATGGTTTATAAACTAGCTCTATGATGTGTTGGACGTGGGAGATATTTTAAAATGGCAGCAATCCACTTTGGCTTTGGTCTCCCAATCAATCCATTCAAAGTTAAACTCTTCTTTTTTTTAAACTGAGCACATTCAAAGATCTGTCTACAACAGGCCAGATGTTAATTGTTCAAAATCTTTCTTTTGATTTTCAATTCAAAAGAACTGAATTGTTGCTTTTAGCAAACATTGTTTTTAGTGACTGTGATCCTTCAGAAATCAATGAAAAACTACTTAAATAAATATTTGTGAAATTTTGTGTATATTAAAACTAGAACAATCTCTGTTGAATAATGTTCATTTTCTCTAGGTATTTAGCATGCCAATAACTATCAAAAGTCATTATATTTAACAATCTATTGCCATTTGTAAATCCATATTTTTAGATGGTATCTGTTATATTGTCATTCATTACAGTAAATTTCAGTAAACCTGCTTAGATAACCATTTCTGTTTTCATTGCCAGCATTTCAGCTTTTAGTTGAGCCTGCTGTTGATGTTTTTGTCATGAAACCAGTCTTCGTTTTTTGAAATGCAACATCCGAGTTTTTATTCATGAGCCATTTTAAACAGCTCTGGCCTCTCCTCACCAATGCAATGAAAGGTGAAATCCACTCTGTAAGCCATTCACATGGAGAGCTGCAGAGATAAAACCATAACTATGTAATTTCCCTTGACTTGCTTCATAAAAAACTACCATTTGTGGAAGAGGAAGTTGTTGAAAGCACATGAACCTACAGTCCCTGCGGCCTTTGCCAGTTATTTCCTTTATTTTTCTTTTTTTTAATAAACCATTTTTTATTGGTCAGTTCAGAGGTCTCAAGGCAAAAAAAAAAAAGTCTTGTTTATAATGCAACCTTGTATAATAGCCTGACAGGATGTAATTAGAAAGAGCAGGGCTCTTCTCAAGTTTGTGTTCTAGTTCTACAGGCGGATCCATAATCAGATCCCTAAAGTTCTGCTTGCTAATGAATCTGCTCCTCCTGGGGTTATTGATGGCCACAGTCTTTCTGAAAGATCATTATTAGAAAATTCTTTTGGACAGCTGAAATAATATGTAATGGCCTATTGCTCAACAGCATATTTCTTGCTAATTATCAAAACTAGAACAATTGTACAATTCTGATTATGTATATTGACTGAATGACGTGGGTAAAATTAATTTACTTGTTGGAATGACAATGAGTTTATTGTGGATAATCATCTAATTAGTTGTGAAATTCTGAATTTAAAGTATATAACATGGTATTGATGTGCAGAATAAATATGACACAAATGAAGAATTCTGTTTTTGTGGTGATTAAATGAAATTATAAACTATTAAAATTTATTTTGTAGCCCTAATTACTTTTTTAATTGGTTGCAAAGTTTAGGGTGGTTTTATTATTGTGGCAATACAGTAGTCCCTTGTTAATTGCCGGGGTTCCGTTTATATATATATATATATATATATATATATATATATATAT